TCGGCGTAGCCTCGTTCGGGTTCCTCTCCGCCCGAACGCAGAGAGTTCAACCATTCAGCCGGTCGTCCAACATCGACTGACCCTCGTTTCTCTTACTACTTATATTAGGTGGGAGAGTCTATTAACTAGAGAATAGGTGTGTTTCACCATAACAATAAGTGAAATCTATTGACTAAATTAGAAGGAAAAATTTGCAGCGGCACACACACACACACACACACACACACACATATATATATATATATATATATATATATATACATATCCTAATGAGAGAAAGAACAGATGGAGTAAAATTCCTCTGTTCGTAGCATTTACTTTTAAAAAAAGTTCTCAATACAAAGTAGAGCAATATATTATGATTTTATTATAAGAGATTATAAGATTTTATTATAAGAGATTCAACATGCTTATAATATAATCTCTTATAATAATAATAATAATAATAATAATAATAATAATAATAATATATACTGAGTTTCTTGCCATTATTCAATTACTTATATTGGACATACTGCCAGCTCCTTAACTCGACGCCTAATATGTGACTTATCAGTCCAAAGATCAAGAAAACATCTACCCACCCACGATTTTCAAGATCCCTTGTCGAAAACACATTGTATATAAAGCAAATTACTGGAATCATATCGCTGTGAGGGAGACCCTGTTTATAAAACATCTCGCTCCAACTATCAACAGCACTTTATTCAACAGTGGTAGTTAGGTATTAAATTAAAAAAAAAAAAAAATTGAAAAACGCCCCTCACTGAGTTCGAATTCCAGTCGAATCCACTCGCTTACGTACTAACACCCTTGGGAAAGGTACGAATCCTCTTCTTCAATGATATGGGTAGGTAGCAGGACAGACTGGGTTTTATAGCCTTGGATGGCAACTGGTCCACATGGCAACCTACTGCGGGAAAAAAGTCTGGCTCGTCAGTCATGTATCGAAAGATACATGATCGCCTAAGTGTGTATCACGTATGGCACATAACTGGCTGAGTATACAAAACAATAAAAAATACATCTTAAACAGACAGACATGAAGAGGAATTAACAACACCTAAACAAAAACCCCACGAAAATAGCTAAGAAAAATTGGCAGAAAGAGCTTGGCACCATCGACAATACGGACAATATTTGCACCAGACGTAAAATTGTCAGAATGCGTGAAAAACTAAATTCATTAAATTATTCTTGTCTGTCATATTCAAAACAATTACACATAACATATATATATATATATATATATATATATATATATATATATATATATATATATATATATATATATGTATATATATATATAGACATTTTTTTATGCTTATACGTTCTTTTTATAGGTACAAATATTTAAGTAAATGCTCTGTTTTATAATAAACAGTATTAAACAACATTTACCGGCCTGGATGTCCGAGAAATTTTCATTGAAAATATTCGTCCTCCGACAGGATTCGAACCTGTGTCCTATACCGTCATTTAGTTTGACGTGCTCTTAATCGATCGAGCCACAAAGAATCGAATGTATAAAAATAAAAATGTCTTTTAAAATAATTGTCGGACATTGTCCATTTCATAATGTGTGACGTTATTTGTTTACATTTGGATACGCTTTGAGCAGATATGAATGTACGTGAGAGATTCATAGAAGATTGTAGTTTAAAGACAGTAAATTCAACCTTGCTAGCCGAACGATCCTCTGTAGCCAATGTGTATGAATTTGGAACTTATAATCCTAATATATCAGGAGTGTTTTTTTTTTCAGAACTCATATTAAAATTTTTCTGTTATTGTTGTTTTCTCTAGCTCTCTGTATTACAGGTTCTCATATTGTATTTTATTACCACACTATTTTAAAACCTTTTTCATTTTGTCATATACATACATACACACACATATATATATATATATATATATATATATATATATATATATATATATATATATATATATAGCGTCTCCATAAACTTTCTTTACAATTTAAAAATGTATTCCAAATGAAATTGATGAGATGTCTTAATCAGATAGATAGATAGATAGATAGATAGATATGGGCAGAAAAAGATAAGAGATTAAAATAGATACATACGATGTCCATAAAGTCTTTTTACAATTTACAAAATATATCACAAATGCAATTGAGATATTTTAATATAGATAGATAGATAGATAGATATGGACAGAATGAGATAGATAGATAGATAGATAGATAGATAGATAGATAGATAGATAGATAGATAGATAGATAATGAACAGAGATAGATAAAAACAGACTATAATGAATCGCTAGCTACCTAGCTAGATAAAAATACACCATGATAGATAGAACGATTGATAGATAATGAATAGAATTAGATAGATAGATAGATAGATAGATAGATAGATAGATAGATAGATAGATATGGGCAGAATCAGATAGATAGATAGATAGATAGATAGATAGATATGGGCAGAATCAGCTAGATAGATAGATAGATAGATAGATAGATAGATAGATAGATATGGCCAGAATCAGATAGATAGATAGATAGATAGATAGATAGATAGATTTTTTTTCAGAGCTCATATTAAAATTTTTCTGTTATCGTCAGAATCAGATAGATAGATATGGGCAGAATCAGATAGATAGATATGGGCATTATCAGATAGATAGATAGATAGATAGATAGATATGGGCAGAATCAGATAGATAGATAGATAGATAGATAGATAGATAGATAGATAGATAGATAGATAGATATGGGCAGAATCAGATAGATAGATAGATAGATAGATAGATAGATATGGGCAGAATCAGATAGATAGATAGATAGATAGATAGATAGATAGATAGATAGATAAGAGATTAAGATACAAGATCTCCATAAAGTCTCTTTACAATTCAAAATATATATTACGAAGGCAATTAAGATATCTTAATTAGATTTGTTCTGTGTTCTCAGTGTTATCAAAGTTTTTAATCCCATTGCATTTGTGTATTTCAGGTATCCTGTTGATGAAAGAGGGGTACTTTTAAATGAACCCTTGACATTTCCATACCGTTTCATTGGAAGGGATGGATCAATTCTCTGGCTACCTCGTTCACCAGATATCACTTCCCTGAACTTCTTTCTATGGGGTTACGTTAAAGATATCGTTTATCGAACAAAGACACGAGACATCACTGATCTACAGCAAAAGATCACTGATGCTATTGCCACCATTGATGAGGCTATGCTACATTGAACATGGCAAGAAATCGAGTACCATCTTGATGTGTTTCGTGCAACTAATGGAACCCATATAGAGTTGGATTAAATTAATATCTGTGTACAATTTCTGAGATGCGGTATTATGTACACGATTTACATTATTCGGACTATTGTCCTCATCTTTGTTGCCATATTTCTTACAACGTTTCGGTCTTTCAGTATCTGTCTATATTACTGAGATGAGGTATTATGTACACTATTTACATTATTCGGACCTTTGTCCTCATCTTTGTTGCCATATTTATCACAACGTTTTGGCCCTTCAGTATCTGTCTATATTTCTGAGATGAGGTATTATGTACACTATTTACATTATTCGGACTATTGTCCTCATCTTTGTTGCCATATTTATTATAACGTTTCGGCCTTTCAGTATCTGTCTATATTTCTAAGATGAGGTATTATGTACACTATTTACATTATTCGGACTATTGTCCTCATCTTTGTCGCCATATTTATTACAACGTTTCGGCCGTTGTACACTCCTGCATTCTTCAGGTGGTTGGAATGTCAAATTAAAGCCTTTATCCAAGCACACATGGCACAATGGATAAAGGCTTTAGTTAGATCCAGTGACAGGACCCAAAGAGTGTGAGTTCAATACCCGGCTAAGGCAGTGGGGAACTTTCAGAAGTAAATTAACAGGAGATAACTGATAACTGACATCCATTAAACATGGCACGTGGAACTAGAACAGTCTATCCCAGTCCGAATAATGTAAATAGTGTACATAATACCTCATCTTAGAAATATAGACAGATACTGAAAGGCCGAAACGTTATAATAAATATGGCAACAAAGATGAGGACAATAGTCCGAATAATGTAAATAGTGTACATAATACCTCATCTTAGAAATATAGACTGATACTGAAAGGCCGAAACGTTGTAATAAATATGGCAACAAAGATGAGGACAATAGTCCGAATAATGTAAATTATGGATTAAACAATTTCCACATTTTTATCCGTTTATTTGCTTCTCTAATATTTTTTTTTTAATTTTAAGAGAATTTATGAACATTCTGTATATGACTATATCTATCATTTTTTTTATTTTGACTTCCATATTTCTTGCTGCTTATTTTATTTGTAAGATACTGTGTGCGGAAATGTTTATTTTGTGCTGATGGCAATGAAATTCTTCCTGAAAAAGAAAAGACATTTACATTCGCTTTTCAATTCCTGAACTCGAGACAAATGATTTCTCAAAAAATATGTCTGCCTCTCAAAGAGATAGTATCCCTATCATTTGTGTCTTTTTCCCGATTTACGAATATTTGGTGGATTATCCAGTTAAAGAAAGAGATTTACTAGACGATTAATATTTGCTGTTTGCTCAAGTCAGGGTGGCTATTGAGTCATGATTCTAATATCAATAATAGAATTGGGAAGGAATTGATTTTCCATAACTTACACTCGTGAGTGCATGTGTGTGGTTTATTAGGCATGTAATTGTCTGCGAGAGATGGAGACGTAATAAAAAATGGTACTATGTGCGCGAATGTGTGTGTGTGTTGAGAAATAAACCACAACATAATTAGAACAAGTAACATAAAAATGCAAACAAAGGAAGAAAGAAAAGGCAAATGAATGACATTAGAAAGAAAGAAAGAAAGAAAGAAAACACACAAAGAAATAATGGTAAAAAAAACACGAAAGAAAGAAAGAAAGAAAGAAAGAAAGAAAAAGAGAGGCGTATAGGAAATCATAAGCAAAAAAGAAAGAGAGCAAGAAAAGCATATATGGAATTATGAGAAAGAAAAATGAGAAAGAAAGGAGTTTATGGAATTAAAAGAAAGAAAGAAAGAAAGAAAGAAAGAAAGAAAGAAAGAAAGAAAGAAAACACACAAAGAAATAATGGTAAAAACACAGTAGAAAAGAGGAAAGAAAGAAAGAAAGAAAGAAAGAAAGAAAGAAAGAAAGAAAGAAAGAAAGAAAGAAAAGGGAGAATGCCCCAAAAGATAGAATAAAAGAAAGAGAGGGAAGTTCACAATACAAAAGAAAGTAAGAAATAAAGATAAGAAGAAAGAAAGAAAAAACGAACAAAAAGCATAAGAAAAGAAAAAGGAAAGGAAATAAAAGAAAGAAAGAATAAAAGAAAGACAAGGAAAATACACAAAAATAAAGGAAAACGCAAAAAGAAAGAAACAAAGAAAACAGGAAAAATGCACAAAGAAAAAGAAAGAAAGATAGAAAAATGAAAAAGAAAAGGTTGAATTAAGAAAGAAAAAGAAAGAAATAAAGAGAGGAAAAGGCACAATAATGAAGAAAGAAAGAAAAGAAAAAAGCACGAAAAAAAGAATAACAGTAAGCACAGTAAAAAGAAAGAAAAAAGAAAAGGTGAAAGGCACAGAAAGAAAGAATGAAAGAAAGAGAGGAAAAGGAAAAGGAAAAGATAAAACAGAATAAAAGAAAAACGATACAATCATAAAAATATTGAAAAAAATATGAAAGAACCAAAACAAAAAAAGAAAAAAAGGAAGGAAAGAAAAGAAAAATCTGAAAAAGCATAGATAGATATGAACAGACAGGGATAGATAGATAGATAGATAGATAGATAGATAGATAGATAGATAGATATGAACAGACTGGGATAGATAGATATGAACAGACTGAGATAGATAGATAGATAGATAGATAGATAGATAGATAGATAGATAGATAGATAGATAGATATGAACAGACTGGGATAGATAGATAGATAGATAGATAGAAGATAGATAGATAGATAGATAGATAGATAGATAGATATGAACAGACTGGGATAGATAGAGATATGAACAGACTGGGATAGATAGAGATATGAACAGACTGGGATAGATAGATAGAAACAGACTGGGATAGATAGATAGATAGATAGATAGATAGATAGATAGATAGATAGATAGATAGATATGAACAGACTGGGATAGATAGATAGATAGATAGATAGATAGATAGATAGATAGATAGATAGATAGATAGATATGAACAGACTGGGATAGATAGATAGATAGATAGATAGATAGATAGATAGATAGATAGATAGAATAGATATGAACAGACTGGGATAGATAGATGATAGATAGATAGATAGATAGATAGATAGATAAATAGATAGATAGATAGATAGATAGATGATAGAACAGACTGGGATAGATAGATAGATAGATAGATAGATAGATAGATAGATAGATAGATAGATAGATAGAAGAAACAGACTGGGATAGATAGATAGATAGATAGATAGATAGATAGATAGATAGATAGATAGATAGAAACAGACTGGGATAGATAGATAGATAGATAGATAGAGATAGATAGATAGATAGATATGAACAGACTGGGATAGATAGATAGATAGATAGATAGATAGATAGATATGAACAGACTGGGATAGATAGATAGATAGAGATAGAAGAGATGGGATAGATAGATAGATAGAAATAGACTGGGATAGATAGATAGATAGATAGATAGATAGATAGATAGATAGATAGAAACAGACTGGGATAGATAGATAGAAACAGACTGGGATAGAGGGATAGATAGATAGATAGATAGATAGATAGATAGATAGATAGATAGATAGATAGATAGAATGGATTGAAAAGAAAAACGAAAGAATGACAGAAAAAGAAAGAAAGAAAGAGACAAAGAAAAAAATGGCTTGAAAGAAAAACTGAATGAAGCAAAAGACAAAAGAAAACGGGACAAAAAAGGAAAGAAATGACATAGAAATAAAAAAAAACGAAAATTTCAAGACATAAATGAATGCAAGAAAGAAAGAAAGAAAGAAAGAAAGAAAGAAAGAAAGAAAGAAAGGAAATAACTTAAGCATAAAAAAAGAAAAATGATCTGAAAGAGTTTGTAAGAGAAAAACGAATCGTGGGATGCAGAGAGAGAAATATGTAAAGAAGAAGAAGAAGAAGAAGGAGGAGAAAGAGTAGGAGGAGAAGGAAGAAGAGGAGGAGGAGGAGGAGAAGAACATGAAGAAGAATGAATGAATGAATAAAGTTAGAAATTTTTATTTGAAACAAATTCTGACCAGCCTGTGAAAATCGCCGATTTTTTGCATGACCTCGATTTGTTTAAATTATCCCTTTCAAGATGAAAGAGGCGAAATCTCATTTAAAACCGATAAAATACAATAAAGCCAAAAGAAATTGTGGGGTGGAGGGGTTGATTGGGGGGGGGTCTGCGGTATAGGGAGTGGGAAATGAAAAAGTGGGGTGGGTCGTGGGGTAGGACAGCATTTCAAATATTCGCCGTAATAATTTTTCCACCCATTCAAAAAAAAAAAACTAAAAAACAAAAAGAAAAGAAAAAACGAAAAATAAATTTAAATAAAAAAAAAATAAAATAATCATCAAAATACCGAAAGACGAAAATATAATAAGAATAAGTAAATAAATCCACCCCGACCCCACCAAAAAAAATTATCTCCGCGTGCAAAAATCAGGGAAATAATAAATAAAAAAATTAATAAAATAAAGAAATAAAAATAAGCAAATAAATTAACAATCAAGATTTTTCCACTTTAAAAAGAAAAAAATATAAAATGTCATAAAAACGCGTTCATAAAAAAAGAAAGAAAAAAATCTTTATTTAAAGAAAATATATATCTATATATCTATCTTTGTTCATATCTCAGTTTGTTCATTCAATTATATTATAATATCCCATCTGTCTATACCAGTCTCTCCTTATCTCAGTCTGTTAATATCTATCTATCTATCTATCTATCTATCTATCTATCTATCTATCTATCTATGTGTCTCAATCTGTTCATATCTATCTATCTATCTATCTATCTATCTATCTATCTATCTATCTATCTATCTATCTATCTAGGACTGTTCATTTCTATCATCTATCTATCTATCTATCTATCTATCTATCTATCTATCTATCTGTTCAATTTGTTCATATCTATCTATCTATCTATCTATCTATCTATCTATATCTATCTATCTAGGATCTATTCATTTCATTCATCTATCTATCTATCTAGGATCTCATCTATCTATCTATCTATCTATCTATCTATCTATCTATCTATCTGTGGAATTCTCTTCATATCTATCTATCTAAGTCTGATCATATCTATCTATGTTCATTATCTATGTATTTCAATCTGTTCACATCTATCTATCTATCTATCTATGTGTCTCAATCTGTTCATATCTATCTATCTAATTCGCATCATCTCATTCTCTTCATTATCTATGTATTTTTTTAATCGTTTCACCCCAGGCAAGGCGACAATGTCACCAAGACGCACGTGTTTACAGGGAGAGAAAGAGAATGAGGAAATGGAAAAAAATCGATAGGTTTCGGTAAAGTCTGGACGCCAGCGAGCTACGTCGCACTAGAGAGTGTGCGCCATCTGATGTGGTGCACTTTGAACTAGCCGAACACAGAAATATTTGCAGACGGGCATAAAGAGAGGGTCTTGCATATACTATCAGAAATCCTGTCAAACATGCAACAGTCATGAGAGGAAGGGGTACGATAGAGGAAGAATTGATAGCTGCATAAAGAATTTAGATGGCATGGTGGATAGCGGCTTGGATTGATGAATCGGAGAGCCGAGTTCGAATCCCAGTTGAATTCATTACATTCATTTACGTGCTAATACCCTTGGGAAAGGTATGAATCCTCTTTTTCTCCCGTCAGCTTTGGGTAAATAGCAAGACAAACCAGGTTCTATAACCTTAGTTGGCAATCGGTCTAGGAGAAAAGGTTGGGCTGGGGTTTCTTGCCCAAGAAACACCATTTCTACTGTGGCTGCGGTACACATGGTGACCCTAAGGTCACGGAATAAGAAATATATAGAATTTAACAGAGAAAAATGGAGACACGTGTAAGAACAGTCCCGAAACTCAAGACAGCATTCCCTTGTCAGTAGGTTTGTTCTCGAACATATACACCAAGGTTGTGCACATGGACATTAGAATCAAGAAATTGAAAGCCTAGAATGTTGGAGAAGAAATGGTGGAGGGTTTTTGTTCTTTTTTTTGTTTTGTTTTGTATTTTGGGGTTGTTTTTTTTTTACAAGATTGTTGCAGTTTTTTGTGTATATGTATGTACTAGTGAGCAAGTCAAAATGAGTTGACTCACTTTATAGTCCACCAATAGAAGGTTAACCAATCAGAAGACGTAAAGTATTCAATCCGTCGTGTATAAAGGCGGCCATTTTGTTTACTCTCTCCGAATGTCCAGTGCCAACTTGTCAGGCGAAGAGGAACAGAAGGAAGAACTACTGAACTACGCTCTGCTACTTTACCAGGATATCCACTGCTAACCTGAACGACGATTCCCTACTGTCTTCGAAATATTCACTGCTAACCTCTGGATTCTATACTCGAAGACGACCGTCATCATAAACAACAAAGATGGTTTAGTTGCACAGTGGAACCTCGGTTCACGAATTTAATTCGTTCCTGTTCGTGACCCGAAAGAATTTTCACGATAGGAATCAATGTCAAATGGATTAATTCGTTCACGGGCACCAGATGATTTGTTAATTTAAACTTTTATAGCAGTTTTTTGGACACAAGTTTATACACAAAACCAATGAATCATCAAAGAAACCATTATTAAATCCCGCACTAAATTAGGTAAACGCAATACTAATCAGATAAAATATAGACGAAAACTGAATTTAAAGTTTTACCTGTACGGAGGAGATTTGATGGCTTCAGTGGAAAGTGATGGGAAAGGGGGAGATATAATTATTGTTTTGGTAGGTCTTTTTTTAGTAATGGGAGTTTTTGAAAGAGGTGGAAAGGCCAAAAATATTAGCTGTCAGTCGTGTAAAGTAATATGTGCTGGCTGGGACTAGCTGGAAACTGAAGCACAGTGTGGCCCCAGGGTTTTACACCGGAAGTGCTTGCAGGAACAATTTGCCATGCGCGAAAAGGCACTGCAAGAACCCCGATATTATGTGACTGTTCATATCTATCTATCTATCTATCTATCTATCTATCTATCTATCTATCTATCTTACTCTGTTCATATCTATCTATCTATCTATCTATGTATCTATCTATCTGTTTGTCTGTTCATATCTATCTATCTATCTATCTATCTATCTATCAATCTATCTTACTCTGTTCATATCTATCTATCTATCTCACTCTGTTCATATCATCTATCTATCTATCTATCTATCTATCTATCTATCTATCTATCTATCTCACTCTGTTCATCTATCTATCTATGTATCTATCTATCTGTTTGTCTGTTCATATCTATCTATCTATGTCTATCTATCTATCTATCTATCTATCTATCTATCTTACTCTGTTCATATCTATCTATCTATCTATGTATCTATCTATCTGTTTGTCTGTTCATATCTATCTATCTATCTCTGTTCTGTTCATATCTATCTATCTATCTCATCTCTGTTCATATCTATCTATCTATCGTTCATATCTGTTCATATCTATCTATCTATCTATCTATCTATCTATCTATCTATCTATCTATCTATCTATCTATCTGCCTGTCTGTTCACATCTATCTATCTATCTATCTATCTCGTTCTGTTCATATCTATCTAGGAATCTATCTATCTATCTCACTCTGTTCATATCTATCTATCTATCTATCTACCCTCTCCTCTGTTCATATCTCATTCTATCTATCTATCTATCTATCTATCTATCTATCTATCTATCTATCTATCTATCTGCCTGTCTGTTTCATCTATCTATCTATCTATCTATCTATCTATCTATCTATCTATGTTTGTTCATATATATCTATCTATCTATCTATCTGTTCTATCTATCTATCTATCTATCTATCTATCTATCTTCCATCTATCTATCTCATATCTGTTATCTATCTATCTATCTATCTATCTATCTATCTATCTATGTATCTATCTTATCTATCATATCTATCTATCTATCTATCTATCTATCTATCTATCTCACTCTGTTCATATCTATCTATCTATCTATCTATCTATCTATCTATCTATCTATCTATCTATCCTGAATATAAACGCAGTTCTAGAATGGCGACAAGGTCTCATCATTTGACAGTTGAATTGGTTAGATGTAACCGCAAGTTCTATGCTAATAGTTTCTTCTGTCACACTTCTTACTTATGGAACTCCCTTCTGGCTTCCCAATCAGATTTCTCGTACCATTACCGAAGTTAAGCAACATCGATCCTGGTCAGCATTTAGATGAGTAAACACTTTAGAAGGCCAGGTGCTGTAAGCTTATATTTGTTAGATAAAGGCTCAGAATTAAAAACTGAAGAGCCGAGTTCCAATTCCAGTTGGGTTCGTTATATTCACTTACGCGCAAATGCCCTTGAGAAAGATATGAAAGAACATCTTCTCTCCCCCAGCTATGGGTTAATTAGTAAGAATTCTATCAGAAAATCATTATTATCTCCAAAAAATTCTTATGATCTATGAATATTTTCTAGCTGTAAATAACCTGCAAGTAGTTGATAAACCGTAAATAACAAATCAATTAATAAATTTAGCTCTTCAGCTAAGGGTTAATTAGTAGGACATGAGTTCTTACTATCTAAAAATACTTTCTGGCTTTAAATAACCCGAAAAAGCTCGTAAAAAATCAATCAAAAATGGTGTGATGAGCCGTAAAAATATAAACCACTCAGTCATAATTAAGCTGTAAATTGTACAGTTTATAAGTTATCGATATATATATATATATATTTATATATATATATATATATATATATATATATATATATATATATATATATATATATATATATATATAATGTGTGTGTTTGAATAAAAGACAGACCACGTTAAGATTCCATGTAATAAGCTATTTTACCATAACCCCTTTATGGTCTGTCTTATATTCAAACATATCTGCTCTGAATTTTATATTGAGCTCTCTGGATATAATCCTCCTCAGGTCTACCCATACGGATTACCTAAGTTTGCATAAACTAACTAACTATATATATATATATATATAATTCATA